TCACAAGTGTTAACAACACTTTGAAGCACTCTGTATTTAAAAAAAAACGTGATTTTACGCACGCACGTCGAACTCCTTTCGCACCGTACGTAGCCAACCACGCTAATCGGAGGTGCGTGGGAAAGACAAAACAACTGAACACAAACCAGTGACTGACCGTATTCTTTGAATTATAACGACGCAACAGCTTTAACCTTGATTTTAGGAAATCTTGAGGTTGCGTCTTGTAATACAGCGTGTGTGTGTGTGCGCGCGCCAAGATTTGTATACAGCTCCTCAATTACTCTTTAGTTCTTTAGGTAAAGTCACTAGCTAGTTTAGCAGTTCCACTACTGGATTATATTTTTTCCGCCCGAGGACGACCACTTGTGTTGCGATCGGAACGTCGTGATTAATTCTATTTTTCTACCTCCGTGACTTTACCGAAAGAACCAAAGAGTATGGATTCCTGCAGTCACGAAAGCTTCAAATCAAGATTAGCTCCTCTATAGATACCAGGGCACAGTCTTACTTTCAGGAGCGTCTTACAATCCAAAGAACACAGCTTATGCCACAAACACACCATAACCGACACAGTGTGGGGTCAGGCCTTCATCCAGCAGTGGATTGAAGGAAAGCTGAGATGCTGCGAGGCAGTCGGGGAACCACACACCAAGGCTGTCCGCGTTAATTGGAACCGCCGCGCAAATCACTGCACCTAATTGGTGTTTCGCCTGACGCCCCAGCTGTTGCCGTTCCTTGCGGGAATTCGACCTTTTGACCCGATGATAATCGCGGTCTGGAGGTCTGCACGGAAAGGTCGCATGCCCTTGACCCCATAATTGAATGCCATCAGCTGAGACCACGGGAAAAAAAAATATCCAGGCAACTTCAGGTCGCCGTGTGTGTGTGTCATCCTTCCCAGCATGCACCCTTTCATTAATCATCATCATTATCAGCCACGGTCAGGTCATGCTCCTGCTTCCCAAGCCGCAGCAAGTTCTCTCGAGTGGCTTTTGGCTGGCCATCGAACAAAGACGGTCACTGCCTCGCTCGTGCGCTTTCGGATGCGCTCCTGCGTCCGTCTGGAACGCTCTTCCTGCCGATATTAGGAAGCCACTGGAGCGACGCACTTTTACGTCATCTAGATTGACAAACGCATTCATTTTTGTTGTCCTTCCCCCGCATTATCACGGTTGGCTACGTACGGTGTGAAAGAAGTCAAACATACATTCATGCGATCCTGCGATACAATAATCCACCCAGCACTGGCACACGTGAACCCATCCCATCGCTCCATCTCCTCGGTGGATGTCTTCTCGGACGCGTTTAGCTCCACCCGAGCTGCCGCTCCGCGATAAGTCTTGGCCATCGACCCCTTCCTGCTATGACGTCTCCTTCTAACCAAGACTTCAATTTTCCTAACGGTATGTAAAGTTGCGTGCATGTTGAACCTCTTTTGCACCGTACGCGGCCACTCGTGCTCATGACGTAATTAACCTGCGTATTTTGATTTAAAGCTTTCGTGACTGCAGGGATTCATATTCTTGGTTCTTTCGGTAAAGTCACGTATTGTTTCCCTCCTACGTGACTTTACCGAAAGAACGAATATATAACCTGCGTATGCTCTACTCCACGTGTCCCCCCCCCCCTCCTTTGCCTCTTCAGTACAATTGCAAAAATGCGTTCCTCCCATGCTTCTTTGCAGGCTTTTCGATGTTTTGTTCCATACTTGTTTGATATTAATGGACCATGTTTTGAAACCATAACTCGGCACGAGCGACGTGACAGCCGAAACGCAACAACGCACCGCTACACGTGCCGAGTTTGTGTGTATTGCAAGTTTAATTTTAATATTTAAAAAAAGGTATTATTACACGTTTAAAACAACTGTCCCCCGGAAACAGCTTACTGCAACTGGAACGTCACTTTAGTTTAAACCAACAACAAAAAAATACACACAAGCCAGGTGCTGCTTCATGAGCTAATTTCAAAACGCGCTTTGTACACAATTAAGTTAGATGAAGCGTTAATATTTGACCCTTGTAAACAACGTGATCGCGCGAGTGCAACTTGACGCACGGCGAGCAGACACCCAGTGGCGTAGCACCAACGAGTGTGCAGGCGGTGCAACTGCACTGGAGGAGAGAGGAAGAGGGGGGGGGGCGGCGGTGCCAAGCTGCAGAGAGTGGAGGGGAGATTGGACGAGGAGAGCGAGAGAGGGCAAGAGAGCGGCCCACCAACTCCTCCAATTCCATTCCTGGCACCGGAGCCCACTGCCAAACACGCCATGCCACTCGCACTCTCTCTCTCTCAGCTTGGCCAAATGGGATTCGTTGTTCGCATCGCCGTGCAGATCGGCCTCGGTGGAGACGAGAGAGGGCCCGGTCAGCCTTCAGGCTCACACGGACGTTAGCAGGGGACAGACGTCTTCAGCTCTCCCCGCAAACCCAAAGGCACCAATATATTTGCGTCTCTTTTAGACCCCTTACGATATAAACTCGACGTGACCCGGGTGACCTTTGCGAAAGAGCCGATGTTCCTCCATGTGTCTCAATGGGAAAGGGGCAGGGGGGGGGGGGTGTTATTTGATCTCGTGGTCGAATCCAGGGACTGTACTGCTGCCACCTCCAGCCGCACGTGGCGAGGCTATGGTGCGGCGTTTGGCGTGACTACCGAGTGCGCAGGCAGTGAAACTGCAACAGGGAATGCACCGCAGGGGGCCAGAGGGGGGGATCCCAATTAATTCCTTTGCGCCAGGGCTCACTCCAACCACGCCACGCCGCTGTGGTACAGACTTGGTAGAGGCACGCAATTATATATTAGAATAATAATTATTAGAAGGCACCAATGGTAGAATAATCGCCAACTTCCCACAGTTCAGTGTGGCATTCTGGGGCCCACGTGATGAAAAATGACGAAAACCTTCGACACACTGTAGGCAAGGGCCCTTCCTCTAAATTAGTGTCACTTCACGATGCGTTTCTAAAAAGCTCTCCCCGCCTCTCGTCCGCCCAGCGGTATAAATGATTCGGCCCGAAGTTAGTCGGTCGGCAGGTCGCGCATGGTGGGGGTTAAAGGGCGTGAGCGCTCGCACGCACCGATTGCGAGAGACGCCTGGCGAGCGCGGGAGAGTAGGCCCTCTAGTGGAGGCCAGCAGTGGCACGAGCGAGAAATTGCAGGGGCACGCCTTTACCCGTTTGACGCTAAAACGAGAACATACATCGGTGGTGCACCTTGATCACAGGATTGTGATGGGACCCCGGCACCTCTGCTGCTTAAGACGAACCCGAGGAGGTAGTACTTTAGGGGATAGAGCACAATTACAACTATCAAGTTCAAATAACCTAGCAAAGGTGCACTTAAGAGCGCTGGAAAGGGCCAAAGACAAACAGCAGACTACGGAAGAGCAGAAACGCGTAGGGGCAGGGAGCCGTGCGATGATAATTCTGAACACACTGTGAACGTGCCCCTCGACCCGCGCTGCCATCTAAAGTCCGGGCCACACCATGAGCGGTCAGTTTCCGTGCAACCAGGCCGGCTCTTCAAGATCGCCGCGTGAAACTTCTAAATAGCGTTGCCCGCGACCGCTTTGTCCACGTTCCGAGCGAGTGGTTGTGCAGCGTGGGTACGTGGCGGCCACGCCCGTAACCGCACAGCTACGCACACGTCCGTGGTCAGCTCCGCTCGTCGACGTCAGAATCGCGCCCGCGGAAAAACGTGCAGCGTGCGATCAAATCCGTTGCTAAAAAAAAAAAACCCCGCCGAGCAAAATCGACGCTTGGCAGTCGAGTCTGTCTCTCCGCCGCGCAACTGCTCGCAACCCGTTGCAGAGGACGCCCCACGCGCGGTACGCAACTCAGTTGCATGCAACCGACCGCTCAGGTGTGCACCCCGGATTAAGGAACGCACTGGACCCTGGTGAGAATTGTATCCATAAAGTTATTGCTGATATAACACTCTTCAGTATTTGCGAATGTAGAAAAAAATGTAATACTTTAATTCGGACACTTCGTACGCGTAGTGTAGTGTATCGGCTTCGCATCGATTTCCACAGTCAAGTAATCGCACACACGAGCTCGGGAAGCCGAAACGCGCGCCTCGAGTTTTAACGACCGAGAGAACAGAATTGGGCTAAATGAAGCCGAAAACTGCGCTCGAGATTTTCGCGTTGGCGTTTTTTTTTGTTCGTTTTAAATCTCGCGTGAAATGTACAGGGTGTTTAAAAAGATGGACCCTATTTGAAATCGCCTTATCTCTGCAACCACGAACCGCCCATGAATGAAACTCTTTCCACTTGAAAGGGCGGGGCATAGAGAGGGCGGGGCATAGAGAGGGCGGGGCATAGTTTCAAATGATTACCGCTAGATGCCTCTCCCAGCGCACAAACAGCCCCTAGCCTCAGTCATTGGCAAGACGGTGACCCCACCACAACACAAGGGGCATTTTGCGTTCTGCAGTTCAGTAAGTCTGAATCCGTAATTGTGGTGCAGCATGCGTTTCAACGGAGTTTGGCATTGATCCGCCAATGTCAAAGAGCATTCGTCGTTGGTACCAACGATTTGAGGACACGGGCTGCTGTTTATGTAAGGGGAAGAGCACAGGGCGGCCACGCACCTCAGAGGAAAACGTGAGAAGAGAGGCGTTTGGGGCGAATTCAACTCTCGTCTCAATGTTGTCCGTACAGCAGGTGGAGGGCACATAGAGCATTTATGAAATGGTTAGTAAAACTTGATAGCCATTAAACCGTTTGTAACTTTTTGTGTAATTGTAACATGTTGCCATCGTGAAATATACTGCTTTGAAATTGGGTCCATCTTTCTCAAACACCCTGTATTGTCGCTCGTTCATACGCGGTCGGGGCTGAGCGAGACCGCACGGTCGAATAACGGAGGTGACGACTCCCCTTAGAACTTCACAGCGCGGCGAGAGTTTGGCAACGGGTGAAAGTTTGGCAACCTACGGCACGGGGAGGCCTTCTCATCCAGCGGTGGACTAAGCATGGCAAATTGTTATTATGACGATCGCCCGCCGCCGGCCAATAGTTACGGGGAAAAAATCAACCGACAAGATCTCTGTGATATTAATATTAACATGAAGGACATCAGCCGATACAATACTGCAAGTTGTTCCCTTACTGAATCTGCAAATACTGCCATTAATATACAATACTAGCGAGTGTGAACGGATATAGTTACCGCAAACTCAAAAAAACAATTAAAATGCCACAGCCGAGAGACCTGCTCTCTTCCATTCCGTCACGCAACTCAACGAGTATATAACCTTCATCCAGCGTCGTACCACCGTGCGCTAACCGCTGCGCCGCCGCTCGTTTAGCGACTGCAATCACGCGGCCGCCCAATTGTCCTCCGAAATGTAAATCGGTAGCTGTGCACGCCTCACAAACCTGATGATTGGTCAACGTGATCCACGTTGACATAGAGCGCTGATCCAAATTCAAATGGAGATGCGGTCTGTTCTCCTACAACACCACGTGTTGTTTTGACGACGCGAATTGGATATAACGAGATGCTGAATGCAGTAGGGAAGATAATTTTTTTTATAACGTGCGTGCGAAGTAGATATAACGCGATCGAGCCAATGGAAATGCGTCGCAGTGCGAGTAGGAACGAGCGGTCGTACGGCTGCCTCGGCGTAGCATCGTCGCACAAGGCGGGATTGCTGCTGGATGCTTCAAAATGCTACCCACGCGCCTCGGTCTTTCTCTTCGACCTGCGTGCGCATCTGGCGTGTTATCGCGGACTGTGCTTTAGCCCTACATTATTTATTTGAAAGCGACTTTCCCGTAACGCGGTGTTCTTCGGGAACGCGACTACTAACGCGTTATAGGAGAACACCGACTGCACTGCGCGCATGTACGTGTGTACATGCGTGCCTCACGTGACACGTAGAGGAATTATTCCAAATAAGAGATCCTCTGTGTGTGCGTTGCACGTGACTCGCACGTGGCCCTTCATAGGTGCTCGCGAGCAGCACGATCCCCCAACAGCACTTTGCTGCGACGTCTATAGGCGGGGACTTTTGCCTTCTTCATCTTTGGCCCACACAGGCCGCAGAGAGCACGGATTCAAATTCAGAGAGCGCGAGTGTACGTTCCACGTGGCGTAGATAGCACCGCGTGCGCGCGTGGGAAATGTGGCAGCACCATCAGACAGCGCCAACTCGAATTAAGACGGGGATGGGGGGGGGTGGCGGGGTACGGGGTACGTGTTTAGCAATCATCCGGCATGTGCGACAAGCGTATAACGACTTCACTCGTGATTCGACGGAGAAGACGGGCAGCGGTGGAAAGGGGAAGCACGTTAGGACATAAGGAACGGAGTTTGGAATCCCTGGGGCCTACCCTGCAGCCGACACATTACAGCCCGAACCCGTCTCCCTCGTGCTCCCCCCGCTCAGCATCGCTATCATGAATCCCTACGGCGGTCGCACAACGCCGACCCGTCCAGTCCCGCGACAAAAACACCCAGGGAAACAATTCTGTATTTAATTTCGGCACCCTCCCCACCTCAACCCCAACCCCACGCATTAATCGTGACACCCCGACTCGCGGCTGCACTCGGAGATGCGGCGAATCGTCGGTGCGAGGCTCGGAAGAGAAACGTCCGGCCGACATAGGGCTTCCGCCGCCGCCGCCACCACCGCCGCCACCGCCGGCCGCCGGCAGTCGCAGGAACGGGGCGCAGCATCAGAAAGGGGGTGAGAGCGGATCGCCGGTCTCAAGCACCGTGGCCGCCTTTATGGCCTCTGCCCACCTGCGGAGAAGGAGAGAAAACCCGGGAGACAGTCCGATCGTCAACCTTCGAGGCCATCGTCTTTAAAACTATTTAAACTATTTTTATTTTACCAGGCAAGGCCCACTGAGCTATATAGCTCTTTTTCAGAAATCATCTGGCCACAAATGATAGCTCAATGAAGTGGAAATTCTAAACGTGGAGGGAAAAACCGGAGGGCCTGGAGAAAAATACAAGCGTCCACGGGGAGAGAGACGCGCAAACTCCAAATATATAGCAGGCGTCAGGGTGGGGATCGAACCCACGACCTCATGCATACAAGGCAAGGTAGTTAACATCTCCGAGCCATCGTGATGATGATGAGAGAGAGACACACAAACTCCAAATATACAGCAGGCGTCAAGGTGGGGATCGAACCCACGACTTCCTGCACACCAGGCGAGGAAGTTAACATCTCCTAGCCACGGTGGTGTTTCAAGCTTGGCTGTAATCCGATTACTTAAGAGATCGATTACTCGATTGTCGATTCGATTTCTCGACTGCCCCTGCTACCTGCCCCCCCACCCCTCCCACGCCGCCCACGCCACCATGCCCCGGACCTGAGTGCGGTGGCGCTGTCCTCGGCGCGGAAGGCCCGGAAGAGCGTGGTTTTGTGGAAAAGCTGGAAGCTGCAGTCGCGAGCAGTCGGGCCCTGCACGGTGAAGCCCAGCAGAGGCTGGCTCTCCATCGCCACCACATCCTGGCACGGCCACGACACGGAGGTCGGGAAGACGGAGGAGACGGTGGACGAGGAGGTGGAAGATGAAGGAAGAGAGCAATGGTGGTAGAGGGAGGGGAGGGAGGGAGGTAAACGGGAGAAGGGAGGAGGATAACATTAAGATGGAAGGGGGTCATGAAGGAATTTGAAAATAAATCTGGATTGAAAACCAATTTCTTGAGAACTGCTTTTTGTGTTTAGTTTGTTGTCCTCCCCCCGCATCCCCGTTCAGCGCCGTCGCCTACGCACGGTGCGTTAAGACGTTCAGCACACGTACAGACGCACGTACACAAGCACGCACGTACCTCGCTGGCGGCGTACGTGTACAGGACCTTGTCCTTCACCACGAACCAGAGGCGCCGCCACGGCTTGCGGTTGTCCTTGGAGCGCTGGAGGTAGCCGCTCATCGACGAGCCCTCGGTGCCCGCCACCTGCGGGCGTGACACGCGCACGGGCGGGCGGTTGCGACACGCGCGCACGCAAACGCACAGCAGGGCACGCGCACCCACAAGCACGCCGGGCGCGACGTGCACGCGTTAGCGCACGCGCGCACGGGCAGGTGGTTATGACACGCACGCACGCACGCACATAGCGAAAGGTACGCACACGCGAGAACACGCACGCAGGCAGGCACACACGTGACACGTACGCGCACGCGCAAATGCACGTGTGTGTGTGTGTGTGTGCGCGCGCATGTGTACCGGTTAGCGCTACGCTGCGCGACGAACCTGGCGACCCGGGTTCGATTCCCGCTCACGGCCAACGCCGGTAATGATGATTTGAACCGGCTCTGGGCCTCCGCTAGGTAGACTCAGCCTCAAATGAGTACCTGGTGCGATGTGTAGTAAACATCGCCACTGGGGAGACAAAGGCGGCCGGGTGTGGTGCTGGCCACCCACCCCCTCATAGGTGCTCGCTAACAGCACTTGCCCCTACAGTCTGTTACAGGCTACACAGGGGATCTCCGTTCTTCGTTTGTGCCTCCATCTGTTTGGCAGCGGTTGCCAGCACAGCCGCGCCTTCGCCGGCCGTGCCGGCCCTTAAGAGGCGCTCGCTAACAACGCTCGCTCACAACGCTCGCTCCACCGGCCTGTCAAAGGCTACCCGGTGGGACTGGCGCGAGGGGAAGCCTTCGTCTTGCCGTCCGTCTGGGCGTCCGCGCGGCAGGGTGTCCGTCCGTCTGCCTTCGGGATGGGCTGTCTGCACGCGCGGGCCATCCGTCGCAGTCTGTCGTGCGCCTTGCCGGCCTTCACAGGGGCTACGTGGGCTACGTTGGAGCGGGGGGGCGGGTGGAGGGGGGGGGGCGGGGTGGGGGGCAGGGGGCGGAGGGCTGTTGGCACCTGCTTGAGTGCCGCGGGAACCCTCTTGAGTTTGCGTCCGGGCGAGGGGGTGATGCTGTGCAGCACCGACGACAGCGCCCCCCCCGGCGAGCGACTCTGAGACGGGGGACTCCTCCCCAGCACCACCGTCTTGTCTGTCCACGCCGCCAGGGAAACAGCGCGCACAGCGGAGTCACTCGTTACAGCCGTGGGGGGAGCACGGGGGGTGGGGGGAGAGCGAGATGAGAGGTGTAGAGGCAGGAGAGTGCGTGGAGGGGAGTAGAGTGAGATGAGAGGTAGGAGAGTGCGTGGAGCGGAGTAGAGTGAGATGAGAGGCAGGAGAGTGCGTGGAGCGGAGTAGAGTGAGATGAGAGGTAGGAGAGTGCGTGGAGCGGAGTAGAGTGAGATGAGAGGTAGGAGAGTGCGTGGAGGGGAGTAGAGTGAGATGAGAGGTAGGAGAGTGCGTGGAGGGGAGTAGAGTGAGATGAGAGGTAGGAGAGTGCGTGGAGCGGAGTAGAGTGAGATGAGAGGTAGGAGAGTGCGTGGAGCGGAGTAGAGTGAGATGAGAGGTAGGAGAGTGCGTGGAGCGGAGTAGAGTGAGATGAGAGGTAGGAGAGTGCGTGGAGCGGAGTAGAGTGAGATGAGAGGTGTAGAGGCAGGAGCGTCACCGACCGCGTTTGCCGAGCGACGCGTAGCACTGGTCGCACACGCGCTCCGGACGATCCTTGCGGTACTTGAGCGGGTACCGGTGGTAGGAGCAGCCCTGACAGATGATCTGAACCCCCCCGTGGGAATACACCAACGGGGTGGGGGTGGTACGGTGGGTCGGGGATCGTGGTGGGGGGGCGGGAGGGGCGAAAAAATGCAACCGGGTGACCAGGGTTACTTATCTCCGCGCCGTTTCCTGCTTAACCGCGGCGCTATCGGCGGGCGCACACACATTGCCAGTTTCATCGGCACCAACGGCGCGTCGGATCCCAGCGGCACGACGCTCCCATGGTTGTTGTGACTTTTGTCGGTTTAAACGTCACCGTTGGTTTATTTTCGTTCCGTCATGTTGGTGACCCAGTTCGCTCCTGCAAAGGAGGCCCTCTCCTTACCCCGGTCTCTTGAGTTCTCAAGCTGGTCACGCGAGATCGACTCGAACTCGCTCGCTGAGTCGCTCGCTAAGATCTCGCCGATTAATTTAGCCACTCACACGGTCGCTCATTCGCCCAGCGTGGAGAGATGCGTGCTAGGAATTACGCTGAGAGACAGGAAGAGGAACATGTGGATTAGAGAACACGCCCGTGTTAATAATGACCTCATCCTAACTAAGCAAACAGATGTGCTTTTTCATGTCTTGCAGCAAGTATGTACGGAACAACAAAGACCTTGACTAAAGAATACAGATCCCTTACCGAAGCAATGAGGCAATTCACCGGCATGCTTGCCGATAAACACCCGCTACACTACGTCCACCGACGATCCATCAAGTGACGTCATACCTAACTGTTACGTGGAGTGAGCGGGGCTGGGCGGAACGCGCGATCGCAGGAAGGGACCTCGGGAATGTAAACAAAAAAACGACTATAAACTTTTCTTTATTTTACCAGGTAAGGCCCACTGAGCTACATAGTTCTCTTTCAGATAGCTCAACGAAGCTGCTTATCGTCACGTGGAAATTTATAGCAGCCAAGTACTCTGAACGCGTGATGTCGATTCTAAATGTGGAGGGGAAAAACCGGAAGACCCGGAGAAAAAATCCACGCAACCACGGGGAGAGAGAGAGAGAGACGCAAACTCCAAATATACAGCAGGCGTTGTCATGGTCGGGATGGAACCCACGACCTCCGGCAAACCAAGCGAGGTAGTTAACATCTCATAGCCACCGTGATGAAGAATGAGAGAGAGACACGCAACTCCAAATATACAGCAGGCGTTGTCAGGGTCGGGATGGAACCCACGACCTCCTGCATGCCAGGCGATGTAGTTAACACCTCCTAGAGACCGTGGCGCCGTAAGGGACGCCGCTAATCACCTTGCCGCAGGCTCGGCAGTGGTGCCTGCGCCAGGTTAGGGTGAAGTCGCAGGTGCAGATCATGCACATGGTGACGCGCGAGTCGGGGATCCAGATGGGAGCCTTGTGTCCCAGCTGGGACTCGGAGCGCTGGAACGTGTCCATCTGCAGGGGGTGGCGGGGCCGCGGGGCGGGGGGCAGGGAGGGGCGGGAACGCGCAAGTTCAAAGTTCAAGTTTATTTGGGGTTTCTAATAATAATTTAGAATTGTTGGAATATATGACGCGCCCAGTTTGTGGTCACTCTGGGAGATCGCGATTCTTCTTTTTGGATGTTAGGGCGAATGAAGAACACTGAAGGCACAGAGGGGCTGAGTGAACATCGTCACGGACGATGCGAAACTGCCGATCTGGAGGGACCAGAATAAGTGCAATTTAGGGAAATGGTTCATCCAGCCATTATCGCATCTTCAAGGCCCTGGTTTCTCCAAGGATTTGGCTGGTATTTCGCTACGCTCGGTTGACGGGGGAGGGGGGGGGAGGGGGGGTGCGGGGGGCGGTGGTTCCATCCTTCTTGATGTGTTGTTGGGCTACAGAGGGTGACCTCCGTTTGACTGACGGAGGGAGATTTTGTTGACAGGTCATTTTTTGAGGGTGTGTTTTTTTGCTGCGTCTGAGAACACAGTACGGTAACAACACGGTGGGATGTATGTTACACGGGAAAAGGTGTCAATATGTTGTCTTTCTTGTATTAAAAAAGATTTAACCATCTTTTTATTATTATCATAATACTCCTAATACGAAGTTCATCTGTTTCTCAGTCCGCTTGTCTTGGTGAGGGTCACGGCGGCAGCGTGTTGAGTAGTGATGGTCCAGACCTCCCTTTCCCTGGCAACAGACTCCAGCACTACATTAGTATACACTACTACACTATTCACTACACTGTACACTACACTGCTATACACTACACACTACTATACACGACACTACTATACACTGCTATACACTACACTGCTATACACTACTACACTACACTACACACTACAATACACTATACACTACTATGCACTATACTATACACTACTACACACAACTACACTACACACTACTACACACTGCAATATACACAACTACACTACACCATACACTACTACACACAGACTCTAGCTCTTCCTGGGGAATCCCCACGCGTTCCCAGGCCAACCGAGCGACATCGTTCCGCCAACAGCAGCGTGTCCTGGGCCGGCCCCGGGGCCTTCGTCCAGTGGGACGTGCTGCTGTCCGGTAGAATTCCAGGGGCAGTCTACTGGGGGGCATCTAATACCAAGAAATATTCATAATTATTTACTTTTTTTTTATCCAAGAAAGCCACACTGAGTTGTCGGGCCCTTTCTCAGGAGGGTCCTGGCATTGGGTTTTTATTTCAAGACGAGTTCTTAATTATTATTATCATCATTATTATTATTATTATTCATCACGTGTGTGGAATGAAAACAGGGCGCACTGATTAAAAATGCCCACGCCTTGCGAGAGGGGACAAAGCTCTATCCCCGTACCAACGGAGTTCTTTATTATTATCATTATTTTTCATCACGTGTGTGGAATGAAAACAGGTGCATTGATTAAAAATGCCCACGCCTTGCGAGAGAGGACAAAGCTCTATCCCCGTACAAACGGAAACAGATGATGATTTATCCACTCGCTGTAGCGCCTCCTGCTGGCGAGTTCAAGGTACGGCACCACCTCCTGGACACCCACTGGAAGGGAATTTCGCAACAACGTCTGTGTATGCGGTGATCCAGCAACCCTCTCTGATGCTGCTGCCCCCGCAGCGCTGGATCACTACAGGCAGCCATGTGCAATGGCGTAGCCACCACCACCACCATTGCCACCAAAGGCAAATACCCCCCCCCCCCCGTCCCGTGTAGCCTTAAGAGACTGTTGGGGAAAGTGCTGTTAGCAAGTAGCACCTATGGAGGCCGGCACGGCACAAGAGGGGGTGGGTTGCCAGCACCACGCCCGGCCGCCTCTGTCTCCAAAGTGGGGATGTTCACACCGCACCAGGTACTCATTTGAGGCTGAGTCAACCTAGGGGAAGAGGCCCAGGACCATTTCAGATCATCGTCAATGGTGTTGGGCGTGAGCAAGAATCGAACTCGGGGTCGCCGTGTTCGTTGAAGAGCATGCCAACTCGCTTCACTAGCCACCACCACCGCCACCACCGCCACCACCGCCGCCACCGCCGCCACCACCGCCACCCGGCTAAGAAGACTCACCTGGCCGCTGCCGCCGTCACCGCCACCGTCACCACCGTCACCACCGGCGCCTCCGCAGGTGTGGGTGAAGGAGATGCGCTTGCGTGTGTAGTCGTCGATGGCGCAGGAGATCGCCAGCAGCCACTCGTCCCGCTCGCTCGCCGAGCTTAACGGGGGCGGGGGGTGGGGTCACAGGGCGATCGTCAGCCCACGTCCGTCACGAGCGCCGGGAGATCCGGCACAGGGCACTGGCGATTCGTTCGGCGGAGGCACCGGGTGAGCGCACAAGTCGGTGAATCGGTACAAACGTCAGCGCCGGATAGGCCGCGTCTCTCGTTCATCTTGCCGCCTACATCCCTCTCACCTCACTACATCTCTCTCTCTCTCTCTCGCCTACATCTCTTCGGTAATCTCACTCGGAGTTTATAAATCAAACTAGCCTTTTGACCGTCCAAGTACGGGGTGTATTGCAGTAAAACTGAAACTTGCAAGCGAAAAGCAGACTGCAATGTGATATATTCATTGCATCAATTCGTGTGCGATTTGTAAGGGCGCGGTGACACAGACCTATTTCATTTAAAGGTTATAATCCCTTGTTCATCGTGACGTCCTTTTTACTTTGATGTCTCAACAGCGTTACGGAGATCGCGTGACGTGAGGGTTCTGCCTTTGTAGTGAGGGTTGTGAGTTGACGCCGAGGAGGGGGGGGGGGGCGCCTCGGCCCCCCATGTGGAGTGACGTCAGCCGCTAATTATTATGAATGGAGGGGGGGGGTGTCCATTTTGAGGATGTCACCTTATGATTATTAATGAGGGGAGCTGTTCGATGTTGGAGTGACGTCACCTGCGCATGATTATTAATGAGGAGGGGTGAGCGGGTGTCCATTTGGAGGACGTCACCTGCTCATGAATATTAATGGCGGGGGGCTGGTCGATGTGGAGTGACGTCACGAGCGTTAAGGACATTCCTGGGTGATTATGGATGGGGGGGGGGGGGCTTAGGGAATTCCGTCTGCGGTGAGAAGTTCGCGGCTTCGTGGCACGCGGAGGAAAACCACCACCACGCTCTGAGGCTCCGTGCAGATGGATGTAAGAATCCATCGCTGTACTGCCATCTACTGGATGAAACATTACAGCTTTTGTAGGAATCCACAAAAACCCGGAACACACGACAAAAAGCCACGCATAAGAGTGCGCGGTAACGCTCAAGGCTCTGCACGGATGGATTCGAGGATCCGTGGCCATCTTAGCGCCTCGTGGCCACCTCGCAGGCCCCCGGTGCCGCCTCTCGTCCCAGAACTCGCCCCAGGCCTCGACCTCGACTCACCTTGTGGAAAAATAAAAGTCGGCCGCAAAGTCCGGCCAAGTCTTCGCTTTACCACTTGCACTCCTCCGGACGCGACACTTAAAACTAAACTATTTGTGTTTTTTTGTATTTTGGCACGTAAGCCCCCACCGAGCTATGCCGCTCTTTTTCAGAAGCGACCTGGGTCACACAACGGAGCGGCATATCATCGTCGTCGTCGTGAGAGAGACGCAGACTCTAAATATACAGCAGCAGCAGCAGGCGTCGTCAGGGTCGGGATCGACCCCACGACCTCCTGTATACCAGGCGAGGTAGTTAACATCTCCTAGCCACCGTGATAACGATGAGGGTGAGAGAGCCACGCAAACTCCTAATACCCAGGCATTGTCAGGGTCGTGATCGGCCTCACGACCTCCTGTATACCAGACGAGGTAGTTAACATCTCCTAACCACAGTGATGATGATGAGGGTGAGAGAGACACGCAAACTCCTAACACCCAGGCGTTGTCAGGGTCGTGATCGACCTCACGACCTCCTGTATACCAGGCGAGGTCGCCACCGCGGCGTTCGTGCAGAACGCAGCTGCGTGCGCACGCCGACATAAATCTCAATTTGGTAAACGCACGCTGCCGCCGTCGCCTTCGTGACCGAGCCATTCCGGTGTTCGCTGTGGTCTCTTGTCGCTGCCCCCAGCCCCCGGCACACTCCCCCGCCCCCTCCCCTCCCCCCCCCCCCCCCCGTGTCTCGAGGTCACAAAAGGAGCTTTGTGTCTCTTTAGCCGTTCAGCTGCCACACCTGGGTTCAATAAAGGAGTGCGGTGGCTCCCTCGCGCCTCGGCATTCCTCATCCCTCTCGCGTTCGCTCTCTCCCTCGGACGAAACTAAAATGGGAAACATTCCGTTCTTGCGTTTGCCAGAGATACAGGAGCAAAATACCACGAAGAGAGGGCTTCGGCAGGGAGAGAGTTCGTGTCGTGTTTCTGTTCCTCCTCCTCCGTTGAAGGAGTGCAGACCACAGTGGGTTTACCGTAGACTAACACTGGACCCATACACTAACACACGGGCCCATAGACTAACACAGGACCCATAGACTAACACTGGACCCATAGACTAACACTGGGCCCATACACTAACGCTGGACCCATAGACTAACAATGGACCCATATAGACTAACACTGAACCCATAGACTAACACTGGACCCATAGACTAACGCTGGACCCATAGACTAACGCTGGACCCATAGACTAACACTGGACCCATAGACTAACACTGGACCCATAGACTAACACTGGACTGATACACTAACACTGGACCCATAGACTAACATAGGACCCATACAACTAACACTGGACCCATAGACTAACACTAGACCCATAGACTAATGCTGGACCCATAGACTAACACTGGACCCATACAACTAACACTGGACCCATGCACTAACACTGGACCCATAGACTCACACTGGACCCATACACTAACACTGGACCCATAGATACAATCACTGGACCCATAGACTAATACTGGACCCATAGACTAACACTGGACCCATACAACTAACACTGGACCCATAGAATAACACTGGACCAATACACTAACACTGGACCCATAGACTAACACTTGACCCATAGACTAACACTGGACCCATAGACTCACACTGAACCCATAGACTAACACTGGACCCATAGACTAACACTGGACCCATAGACTAACACTGGACCCATACAACTAACACTGGACCCATACACTAACACTGGACCCATAGACTAACACTGGACCCATAGACTAACACTGGACCCATAAACTCACCCCGGAACCCATAGACTAACACTGGTCCCATAGACTAATACAGGACCCATAGACTAACACTGGACCCATAGACTAATACAGGACCCATAGACTAACACTGGACCCATAGACTAACACTGAACCCATAGACTAACACAGAACCCATAGACTAACACTGAACCCATAGACTAACACTGAACCCGTAAACTCTTATTCTTGCCGTGTGGCAGCACTGTAGTGCAGGAGCTAAGTGACAATGTCGAGGTCTGCTGCTGCTGGCCACGGCGAGAGGGCTTCAGCAGAGAGAGAGTTCGCGTCGTGTCGCTGTTCCTCCTCCTCCGTTGAAGGAGCACAGAACCACAGTGGGTTTACTGCGCGGTCCGTAGTGAGGGTCTCTTGAGTCGTTTTGTCTTCATGTGTGTCTGTATGGGTTCACTATATGGGGTCCATAGCTATGGTTACATGGCCAAAGCCGCACTAAATGTTGGATGCGTCTTAAATGTTCCATCGATGAAGGAGATACGCGCATCGGCCTGCTGTTGGATGGTCTCCTGATGCGGTCGATGGGTACCACCGGGAGGAATGTCAAAGCCGGGAGGTGCCATGACGTTTGGGTCATCGAATGAGGAGGTGTTTATGATTGCGGACGTCCGCGCTGTTCCACTCTGTCCTTCTGGGCCTGGGTGAGGTTCTAGGATGGGTGGCAGCGGCAGTGGCGGTGGTGGCGGCGGCGGCGGCGGCGGCGGCGTGATGCCAGAAGGGTTCGGGGGAGGATCGTAGGTCGGCTGCGGCAGCAGCAGGCCGACCGCGTCGAGACCGCGGCGCGTTCACCATCACGGCCGGGTCGCCCACCTGCAGGAGCGGCGTACACCCCCACGGTGTGGCGGTGCGGCCCGGCGCTCACGGCACCCCCCGCGGCGCCCACGGCACCCCCCACGGGGCTCACGGCACCCTCCGCGGGGCCCATGGCACCCCCCGCGGGGCCCACGGCACCGAGGAACGGTCGCGGGCCGCTCGCGGTTTTTCTGCGCCGCGTCCGCGATTGGCGCCGGCACGTTCCGTCTCTAAGTCAAGGACTCGGTGGCGGGGGGGGGGGCGCGGACGGCCACTCTCTGCGGGGGCGGGCAGCAGCTCTGCTGTGCGCACGTGCGGGTCACGCACTGCCAGCACACACGCGGTTTCCTCATTAGCGATGCCGCCCCCCCCCCCCCCCAACCTCGCCCCCCTCCCCCCCCCCCCCCCCCGTCGTGATTTTATTTTCATTTGGTCATCTTTCTGCTCGTAACGCGGGAGCCGCTCCGTAGCTCATTGCGATGCCGATGCAATATCCGTCCGTCCGCCCGCCCGCCCTTTCCTTCTGTCTGTCAGTCTGCCTGTGTGACTGTCCACGTGCCTACCTGTCCATTTATCTGTCTGTTCATAAGTCCGTCCGTATGTATGTCTGACCATCTGTTTGCCTGCCTGCCTGTCTCTCCATAGGTCTGTCCGTCTGGTGGTAAATACAGGAAGAAAAAAACGACCAAACATCGTCTTATTAATAATAAAAATAATAAAATAACGAAACATTATACCCGCGTCCCGGCGCAGAGGTTATAACGCGAGTTGGGAGCGTGCGAGTTGGAACGCGTTCGTGCGTGCGTCCGTGGCTGTGCGTGCAGTAAAATCCCCAGACTTGCAAAACAGAGGCTCACTTATAGAACGGAGTGGACAGCTTGTGTGCGTGCGTTTTTTCAGTTTTCACGTTCTCAGAGAGATCCATTTTCACGATTTACGAAAAAAAAAAAAGCACGTAACGTCGGCCGGACAAAGGAAGAGGAAGCGTCCGAGAGACGACGACCGCCACGGAGATGGAGCGATCGGATGGATCGGTTTTCTGAGCATGGGCGTCATGGAGCGGTAGCAACACTGGCACCGTTGCGGGCGATGACGGTTCATCCAGCAGTGGATAGATGCTGATGGTGATTATTATGAAAGAAATAATAACGCTCACAAAGACCGCGTAAAAAAGACAAAGATCCCCCGTGTAGCCTCAACAGACTGTCGGGGCAAGTGCTGTTAGCGAGTAGCACCTATGAA